TAACAGTGTACGGTGTTTTAAGCCAATCACTTTTGAGCTACAAAAGGAGCAGATAAAGCACAGAAGCAGGAAAGCACAAATGGGGAAGACTGATGTCATGTGGAGATCACCAAGAATTCAGAGAAGCTGAAACACAATGCTTTTCTTCCAGAGCAGACAGAGAACTTTGCCCTGGAGCCAGTGCCTTGAATACGGACTAAACTGTGAGAAAATAAAGTTATTTCCTATAGCTACCCACTTGAGGTATTTCTGATACTAGCAACACTAGATAACTAAGACAGAGACCAAAAGACAATGTAAAAACTGTTATGCAAGGATGCAGGAATTTTACAGTTGAGACATCAATGGCTTATTACCAAAAAGCTTTAGCTCACAGGGTAAATTAGAGATAGGGTCTAGCCCTCAGTCTTGAAAGCAAATGTTGCATATGTAAGTCTATAGCTAAGAGGAGAGATATGCGCTAGAGATATAAATGTGGGAGTCTTCAGCATACAGATGCTTATATACTAAAATATATTAATCAGACTGTCAGTTTAGAGATTGGTTCAGGAATAGACAGAGGGCACTAATTTATTAATTTATATTAGAAGATGTACTTGTATTATACCTAGAAAGTTCCCAATCCTCATCTAGTTAAACTATCTGCTCTCCTGGTATCAAATATCTGAAAAACTACTGTTGTTAGTTGCCATCAAGTCAATTCTGACTCATGGCAAAAAAATTCAATTAGTGATTAGAAATTGCTTCAACATGGAATCAAAACAAAAAGGAAGTAAATGCTTTGAGATACTTTTCTACTCCATGATGGTTTAACGAAGCATCATCAATCCTCACAAAAGAATACATCTCTAGTTCCTATAAGCCAGATTCATTTCTGCCCTAAATAAGGCAAGATAAGCAATGCCAACTTCAGGCTCTCAGGCTTTCTTTTACTGTGTACCAGGCTGACAGCCCTTGTCCTGTTCACATAATCTTTCCCTAAACAGAATATGATATAATCAATTAGATTTTTGTCTACTAAATTTTAATTTTATTCCAATCCCTTTCCCTAGGATTATCCTCAGATTATCATTTCAGAGTCTTTAGTACTTGTATCTCTTCAGTTACTTATTTATAGGCAATTTCATCTGGTTTACTTCTTTGGTTCATCTCATACTGTGTGTAGAGTTTTCACTACTTTCTTTCTCAGAAGGCAGTCTGAATTGTGGGGAGGCACTTCATTTTTACTCCCTCACCCCAAACACAAATATACACACACTGCCACCAATAGTTGGATTAAGTATAGACAGTAAAGCACATGAAATAAAACATTTGAGAGCCCTCACTATGATGATGCTGGGTACCTCACTAGATACTTTGCAGACATACATTCATTTAATCCTCACATCAACTCTGTGATGTAGGTTAACATCTTTATTTTGCAGATCAGAACTCTAGAAATAAAATGTCAAGGTCACAAAGCTAAACATAACAAAACTACAATTCAAATATGAATCTATCGATCTCCTACATTATACTGATATTTCCCTAGTTTTTCTTTATTGTTGATGTTATATAACCTTTTCAATTGAAAAAAAGAGAAAGGTGATCTCACCTAAAAACTGTAGAAAT